TAAAAAACCAAATGCCAAAGGAAGGGAGTGAAAGACGGGGCCCCAGGATACAGGGCCGGCTCTACCATTTTTGCCACCCCAAGCAAAAAACAAAAAAGCCGCTCGAACTGCCACCCGAACTGCCGAAGCAAAAAAAAGAAAAGAAAAAAAAAGCCGCTCAAACTGTGCCGCCCCAAGATTGGATGGAATGCTGCCCCTTAGCATGTGCCACCCCAGGCATTTGCTTCCTCCGCTGGTGCCTGGAGCCGGCCCTGCCAGGATATCATTTGTTCAGAACCACTTTTCAGACCCTGAGAGGACAGGGGCATCCCTCCATTCTAACCTCAGACGGTCTCATGGACTTCTGCATCTGAAAATCAGGCCGGGGTATCTATCCCCTCCAGCAGGTCAGATGTGTGTAGAATGTTCTTTGACATCCAACAAGTCAACTTTGACATCAGCTTTGTTTTACTGCGCTCCATGAACAGGACATGGAGCCAAACTCAGTCCTGATTTAAATGTGTGTGAGCCCCATTGATGACACTGGTGTCAGCCCCAGCTACCCTAGGGCTGAGCTTGTATTGTTATGTCTCGAATGTAAGAAGAGATACATCGCCCTTGAGCGCCATGGGCTGGCTGGGGTGGGTTAGTTCAGGGCTTGCAGCTGGCTGCCCTATTTCTTGGTGGAAAGGTCACTCACCTGGGATGAGGCATGAGCCTGCGGTGCTGGGCCTCGAGGAGCTGCTGCTGGAGGAGGTATTGCTGGTGTAGCGCCTGAGGTAGGAAGGAGGGTCCTGTCACATCCTGAAACGGCAGGGCTGGCAGAGGTGGCAGGGGCTGGTGTAGTGGGCCGTTATGCTGGTGAGCTGTCGCCATGTGAGGGTTCAGCCCTGGCTGTGGCTGGACAGGGTGAGGGAGAGGGAAGTCAGCTGAGATCTGAGGTTGGGGGCCCAGATGGAAGTGCCGGCAGGAGGTAGCATGAGGGTGCTGAGACCTTTGAAAAGGAGCACCTGCAAAAGAAAAGCAAGTCTATCAAATATGCAAATACCGCCACAAAGGCAATAGGACTTCCTTTAGAATACCCCATCAGGAACAAAGCCTCATAGATGTCTTCCATCTCTTCGAATTAATGATCAAAGTCATCTGTATGCCCGGGACCACATTTCCAAACATGCCTCCACAAAAGCCAGCAGTTGCATTACATGTGCACAAGCTGGGTAGCAGCATTAAACCAGACATGAAATCTTTAAAGCATATAAACCTTCCTGCTTTCGCACACAAGCCAGCCACAAACTCCCAGGAGTGAGGAAGAAATGTTACGTGTCCCCCAATGCCATCATTGTCCAGGGTAGAAGATTTACACTTTTTTCAGAATTCTCTTGCATTGGCTGCTAGCTGAGACAAGATCCTGGATTACATGGGCCAGTGGGCTGATTGAGCACATAAATACCTATTTCTTAGAACTTTTGCATTCATAACAGAGGCCATCTTGGCTGGCATACTAGGGATTGAACATGCATGCTACACACCCACTGAAAAAACATCCTCATGTAGGAAATTAAAAGACAGCAATATCACCATATAAACTACTTATTCTCAGTGTGTATCATACTACAAGATGAGTGTTTGTAATAAATCTCAGAGGTTTATTAGAATAAATCTTCCGGTACAGATCAAAGCCGAAAATGTAGAATCTCTTATCCTCTAAGCCTAAGGCCATCTCTTTTGTTCGGCCCAAGTGAAACCTTATATCAAAGACATCCAGCTTTGTTTGTTTCATCTTGGGAGGCCTGGTTCTCATATAGCCTTTCCGTAACATCTGCAAGATCTTTCCTAAACTAACAATAAACCAGGTGCTACCTGCTAGAGGCCCATGTCCCTCTCACGCAGACAGACCCCCACGAGTTCAATTCCCTTCTCTACCACAGACTTCCCTGTGACATTGCACTCTATATGATTTTATGAAAATATGCTGATGAGTGTGAATATAATGTAACTAAAATATGCTTCATGCAAAAGGTCTATTGTAAGGTATCATTACAAAGCTTATAATCTACTGAGTGTGGTCATCCTATTTGTATAAATGTATCACTCTTGTATCTGAAACTAGAAATATGAAATATAACTCTGAGGGCCATTAATGGTGGTTTGGAATCTTGATGGTTCCCATCAACCAGGACAATTGACTGTGGATGGCTCTGTTTGCTTGCAGGCTTTCTTGTGAGTCAGGTCAGGAAGAATGAAAGCTGGGGGTCTCACAGGACGTGTGACCATGTCACCTGGTACTGAAATTCATCTTAAACCTGGTGCTTTTCCATTTAGAAGGAGGGGTGGGGAACCCAAAGAGACAAAAGATTCCCGCCTTGTGCCAAAGCTATATAAGGGGGTGGAACAGAACAAAGGGGGCTGCAATCATGAGAAATCCCCTAGCTATCACCTGAGCTGGAACAAGGGCTGTACCAGGGGAAAGGATTGTGCCCAGACTAGGAAGGCGTCCAGTCTGTGATAGAAGTTTATTGAAACATCTGAGGGTGAGGTTTTATCTGTATTCAGTTTTCTTACTGTATTAGGCATAGACTTGCGTGTTTTATTTTATTTTGCTTGGTAATTCACTTTGTTCTGTCTGTTATTACTTGGAACCACTTAAA